TCACAGATCGTCCAGTGTAATGTTGCTGTAATTTTAATCCTTGCCAAAGGCTGCACTGGTCCTATATTTAATCAGAAAGGCCCTAAAGTGCCCAATAAACTGGGATCAATGCTAACCAGTTTGCTTCACACATTACCCTCAGCATTATTATTCAGCTGCATCTGTGCCCATATCTGGAAATGTAGAGCTGTTTATAGCTTTTATTTAATGACACACATCATCTCTTCACAAATGGACAGTATAGATGAAATGAATAAAGCAATTTATGACTTCCAACTATATATAACCAACATATATGGAAGAAAAAAAAAACACCATACCAGATTTTGCATTTCTGCAAGAAGTCAGCATTTCATACATTGACTACCTCTTCCTAAGTCCATTGATCTTACCACAGTGAGCCATAAAAGCCTTTTAGGACAGCAGCCAAGCTGTGGTTACCATGTACAAGGCCATTAAGACCAGGTTTCCTGCAGCTGCATGTCTGCGCAAGCAAAAAGCAAGCAAACCTGAGAAGGTATATGAGGCATAAATGCATCCTGAGAGCATCTTGTATCAGCTGCACATGGGATTAGAGCCATTGTAGTAGAAATAGAGCATAAAAATCCCATAGCATCTCAAGAGGTTCTTTTCAAAAGGCTAATTTTCACAAACGCAAATCTTCAAAACCACTGAGCACAAACAGTTAAATTTTTTATACAAATATTTATTGCAGAGGAGGTATCTTTTATGTACATGCTAACACAATATAACACAATATAAACCTACCAAATATTCCCATATATTGATGCTATAAGCTTGTCATAGAGCAATAGTCATAACAAGCACAAAATACAGTGGGTTAGGGACAGTGTCACTCACTTTACAACTTGTAACAGTCCATAAAATATAACAACTTTTCTTTTTTTTTGTTCTATCAAGGGCAGTGAAACATCAGTCCTACTAAGTTCTTGAATTCATGCAGAAGCCACAAGAGCAAGAATTACGACGTTACAGCATTGAATAGTAGTAGTAGAATTGCTAGTAGGCGCACTTGCCAAATGGTGACACTGTGTGGTCACAAGAATATGAAGTCCAGTTTAAATAAAAACCGCTAGCCAAATGGAAACAGCATGGTTAATGGACAAAAAGCTACAAGACACGCCACTGTCTATGTCAGGATGGCACAAGAAAGATGGTTCAGGTTCAGACTTGCACCAATTCATTGATGATGATTATAAAATACAGTGATCATTTCCAGAGCAACTGACAGTTAAGAGACATCGCTTATGTTTCACAGAGTTAAATACACACACCAAAAAATGAACTGAGGTAAGGAAAATCATACAGCAAGCTCATAATCGTAGATTATTCAAACCAAACAACAAACTGGGTTTACTGTAACAAAAAAAAAAAGTGATTTATTTAGTTTCAAGATGGGATATTGCACTCTCAGTATTTTCATCCTCCTAAAATCAACTTAAACGCAAAAATATATCTGGTCTGTTATTTGAAATAGCCTTTTAAATATTGCTTTATTTATTTTTATCATTTCTAAAAAAAATCTGAGTTGGTATTTCCCCCCCACCCAAAAAAACAACAACATCTAAACATGTGCAACAACTCCTCTAAAAGCACAATAAATGGTACCAGGTCTTTCATCCCTCTTGGCAGTAAATCTGATGCGCTCCCAGGACGCGTCTGTAAGTTTAGAAGTCCCCTTTTGTCAAAGCAGCATGTAGATCACTAAAAGGTATTGGATAATCTCACTGTAAACAATATACAAATTAGGCCTGAAACAATTAATTGGATTAATCATGAAATAATAGTCAACTTATTTAGTAATTAATAATCTTTAAATGGAGAATAGAGACTCTAAAATGTGTCTTCAACTGACAGATCAACCTACGTAGAGCAGTAACTATACCAAATTTGTTAAAAAAAAAAAATCATATATGTAAACATTTTGCTTTTAAGATTAAAAAACCTTTTATGCTCTATCTAGAATTCCTTTAATGGAAATGTTTTAGTTTCACCTGAATTAATTATGCAAAAGTCTTCTTTAAGGAACCTTTGGCTATCAAATTATTAATCGAAAAAATAATAGACAGATTCATCGATTTGTAAAATAATTGTTAGTTGCAGCCCTAACACAGATCAATTAAAGTAATAAAACTGAAACATGTAAAACATGTACACCTTGTAAAACCTGGACATTTTTCCAAACAAGAACATTATTGAAAAATACTGCCTTATTTCAATGAAGTTTTTCGTGGTTTAGGCACAGATGAGTAGCTAATTTGAAGCGCCAGAATTGAATGTGTCTTTAAAACTCAAATTGGCCAGCCAACTCTTATGCTACGTTTTGTTATTGAGAGCTGGTCTACATCCCATGGGCAAACCTCAGACCCCTTATTGTGTTTCGCTGTGATGTTTACACTAGCTATTTAAGTAAGCATAAATTGATGAGTTGATTTTATTCTGAAATTCACCAAAACTATTTCCTGTCTGGTGCCTAAGTTTTACATCTTGGCTCATTTTTTCCCTTGCGTTTGACATGGGACCGCTGTGGCGTCCAGTAAAAATGAAAACCTTGCTGAATTTTTTGCAGCCCTGAACAGACTTTAATGGTTTTTGTTTTAGCCCAGTGTAATTTCTAGCTTTTTTGTTTCACTTTTTTTGAAAGTGAAAGTTAACTGTCAAAGGTAATCCATTTTTCAGGACCTCTGTATGAGTTTAATTTGGATTGCATTTGGTTTATATGGTTTTATTGTCATTTGTGGTATTTAACAGTAGGCTGCACTGTTGAGAAACCAGTTTCTACATTAGGTCACCAAAACACAGAGTGAATTTTGCAACACAATAAGGAGTGACTATTAGAGAGGGATTATGGGTTTCTGTGTCGAAGCATCCAACAACCCAATAATTACTGTACCTGCCAGTCCTAAAAAGAAACAAGACTTTTCACTGTATGGATAATCAGCTGGACCAAAGCAGAGGTGGCTGCAGTACAGTGGTTTTGTAAGCAAAAGGTATGACCTGATGAATAGTTCAATCGTGTAGAACGATGATTCTCTTTTCTGCATTGCCAATTACATCTTTGTGGGGTTTTTTGTATTACACTATATTAAGAGAGAACTATCAATCCTACCAATGTTGGTTATCCTGGTAAAATAGTGAGGATTATCACATGGTTTGGTAAAAATGAACAGTTACATACTAAACTGGCCTGTATGGACTTTCCACTCTTTTTAAGGTATCCTGTGGTAAGCATGGGATCTTTTTTGTTGTCCACTGATTTACCAGGGGAGAAAATATAATTGCTGTATGAATACTTTGCACTTAAACGTAATTTAAGTAAGAGAAGGGGCCATGCCTAACTGGCAGTGAACCACGACAGTGCCTGAACAAATAGCACCTGCTTTATCTCATCATATCCATTGCAATAACTATTTTATTGCAATGTTTCATGTAGAATTTTTATTTTTGTAATTTTTGTTGTTGACTTGTTCAGACTTTCAGAAAGGATGTCTTAAAAGAATTGTGTCTTTGTTTTATGGTTACATTCAGTATAATCCCCACGATAATCTAATTTATACACTAATAAAATGCAAACATTTCTTCAGTAGTCAGACTATTATTTTAGATATAAATTGGAAGTATTACTCTACTTAGCCAGAACTTTCCATGCAGAAAAAAAATTGCTGCAATTTATATCTTGGATATAAATTGCTGCAATTTATAACTTGGATTTTAATATATATATATATATATATATATATATATATATATATATATATATAAAAGAATTCAAACCTTTTCAAAGTGGACATTTTTAAAAAGACAATTAGAAGTGGGGATGTAGGTGCATAATCTATGCATGCCAACAAGAGGTAATTAAACCTTTAACCTTGATAAAAGCGGGGCAAGTTTTTCCTGTTCTGATCTCAAAAAGTGATCAGAGACATTAATGTTAGTTTGTACAAACTGTTTTGGGGTTTGGTCGGAGCAGGTTAGTCTCATTCTCTGTAAAAAATTCCTTGGTCCTCTTACTGTTGGAATGCAACATTTACATAAATTCTTAAAAAATATATACCGTATATTTTTATTTCCCAAGTTAATACTGGAAGATAAATAGGAAAGTTACAGACATGCAGGAAGAAAAGGGCCAGAAAAAGTTGTGTTTCCTCCTGTTGAAGCAACCTAACTCTGACTTTTGATTGTCTAACAAAACCAGATGAGCCACATCCTGGTAAATATAAAACAGAAATGTTGAGAATAAGCATTTAACTGGCTTTCAAACTCTTTGTTTTAGTTAACCTTTATACTGACTCAGTGAACGAAAAAAGAAGAGAGGGCCAGACTTGTGGGACATCTGCAGTCATATTTGGTGCACCACAAATATTTGTGCTGGCATCAAAAACAATGCGGGGACAAATTAACTAAATTATACTCCTGGCGTAGTCATTTCATCCCTAAGTACTTATGTTTTGTACCCATAAACAAGTCTTTTCATACATATTAACTTAACAAATTCATCACTGTTTAAGCATTTTCTCACATCGTATTTTCATTCTAATTCTAAAACCACTTTTTTTAGTACCTATGTACAATTAGGTATCACTTCAATTCAGTTCCATGAAGTCATGTGTATGAACTATGAAGAAAAATAATCGTCAAAATTTTTTAAACTCAAAAATAGTTATCCATCCATTTTAATTTTTTATTATTCTGATAGGCTTAATCCCAAGTGGGGTCGCAAGGGATGCTGGTGACTATCTCCAGCTTTCTATGGGCGAGAGGCGGGGTACTCCCTGGACGGTTCGCCAGTCTATCGCAGGGCAACACAGAGACAAACAGGACAAACAACCATTCACACCTAAGGAGAATGTAGAGAAGCCAATTAACCTAACAGTCATGTTTTTGTACTGTGGGAGGAAGCCAGAGTACCCGAAGAGAACCCATGCATGCTCAGGGAGAACATGCAAACTCCATGCAAAAAGAAAGAATTGAACCTAGAACCTTCTAGCTGCAAGGCAGAAGTGCTACCCACTGCACCACTAAAAAATAATTAAATAAAAAAAATATTCAATTAACTGTACTTTTAGCCTTCATTCAACTCATTTCAATTTAATAAAAAAAACCAACTTTATTAATCCCAAAGATAAATCAAATAATAAATCAATATTTTAGAGATTAGATCACTCAGAAAACCAGAATAACTCTAGGCAATGTATTCCTGATACATATTTATTAAAATCAAAAAGCCGCCTACCTTAAATATACTAGAAAATGGGGTAAGTTAAATTAAGCTATTTCAAAAATCTTAGTTGTCAAAATGGGTATAAAACATCTTCAAGTCATAAATGAATTTGCAATGATTGATAGAATTTATCCTGCTACTGATGGCTCCTGCCTCTATTTGATACCTGAAATAAAATGCATTTTTATTTTCATCTACTTGAACCTTTGCCTATCAGATTATTTCTCATTGAAGGTAAATACCTTCATGGAAGTTACAAAACCTTCCAGCTGTGAATAAGTATATATCATTATTGGAAAACTGCATATACCTCCATATACCTATTTGTCTGGGTTGTAATCCTATTTGGACCAGCTGATTGTGATAGCGGGCTGTTCTGCAAACCATCATGGGAAAATCAACATGTGATGATCATCATATAACCTGTTTTTAAAGCTACATTTAGTGGTTGTTATTGTAGCTGTAATAAACAAACAAACACGAATAAGGATAAGACATTCAGTCAATTCAAAGGAACTTAAGTGCAATGGCTAGGTGTCCTCTGGTGTACCGATATTGACTGGAATCATATGTTTAATCATATAATAGACAGAGTAAAATAAAAAATAATACAAAAATTTTCCTAATTATGGCAGGTCGTTGTATAAAATGACCCCATGTTGGGTATAAATTGAATCGACATCTGGTTGGGACAAAATGCCCCTTTAGTAGAAGACACATGGAGTCCTGTACAAAAAAGCCAAAATAAAAAAATCTGAGGAATGGCAAAGGGGTGATGTGCATGTAGGTATGACCCGTGCAAATGACCTCACTCTGTACTGTTTCCGTTCCCTGTGTAAACATGCTAAAAATATAAAAGCAATTTAGACACACATCCAGGCAAATCCAGTTCTGTTCAACCATTTTTTTTTTTTAGCTTTTAAGGGATATGCAAACAGGAGCACAAATATTGTTGAATGGGGGGAGCTAGCTAAAACATCAGCACTGGTCAGTTGACAAACAAGTAGAGTCCAGCTACTCTGCACCTGGCTGTGCATGCTGTTAATATAGATCACTGTGACAAAATCCAGACAAAAAAGCAATTTTTTTTTCTCCCTTCAGACTGGTACAAGACGATGCTAATAGTTAGGCACATAAAGTACATCTTTACAGACTTGGAAGCATTTTAATCTGTAAAGAACTACAATTAAATAGATCTAAAAATATATATTTATATATGCTGTATGTATGATTGCTTGTGATCAAATTGTAAATCAAGATCAATAATAAAGAAATAAATCAATAATAAAATGTATATGAAAGACAATTTTTTTATTTAGCTGTAAATTGGTGATGTTTGCTAAAGTGCTAAAGATGGATTTTCCTCCTTTTTTGTCCAACAAATAAACTCATAACCAAGCACAGATTGAAGACCAACAATACCCTTTGCAATGGTTGCCCTATTCTTTGGCTTTGAAATCCTTGTTTCAAACTTCAACCTAAATTGCATCCGTGTGACAACAGAGAGAAAATATTGCGTGTAAACTAATGTAAAATATCTTCAAAATGTTGTCACATCTGGGTAAGCCAACGTAAGAGACAGCAAAATGAAAGTAAGGAGAGCAGAGATGGCAAAAGCTGATGTCTGACATTGCTTATAAAGTGAAACGATTGCATAATTGGTATACAATTTATATCCAGGAATTTCCCTGTAATATTCTGGAATGCTCTTTTTTGACTTAGTTTTGTCATTTTGTACATATTCCAAATATGTAAAACTGGAACAAAACCTTTGAAAGGAAGGCAACTTGTGGATTAACTTTGCTTCCAAGTTACCATACAAATAGTAAAAGGTAATATATAACTCTTTGTAGGTGAAAAAAAGAAAAAAATTAACTATAATTGAAGTGGTCCATTTATGTTCAGTGTCATGCCTTCTTGCTTGATATGCTCTCATCAAAATCCCAGGGGCAAACATCCTCTTTCTTAGCTGAACTTGCAGCTGCACCTTTTGGATTTGGATTGCTCTGCTTTTCTAAAGGAGAGCTTTTATCAGAGCCCATCTTACTTGAAGTGTCCTCAAAATCCCATGGACAAACTTCAGCCTTCTTTGGTTTGACGGCTCCAACATTAGCACTTTTCCTTTTTTCTATCTGCAGACCCTCCTGTGGACTCTCTGCATCCCATGGGCAAACCTCAGACAATTTCTGTTGGCTCAAACGTTTGTCTGATTTATTTCTGTCCTGAGCCTTTGTTAAACTTTTTTCGTCTTCAGCGTCTTTTGACTTTTCTTTCTCAACTGTCCTGTCGGATGTGGTACCTTTCTTTATTGAGGTGTATTCTTTAGATTTGGGGGCTTGTGCTGGACTAGGTGTCCTGTCAGTGTTTGGTGAAACTGCAGCACTGTCATAGTCCCAGGGACAGATTTCAGCTTTTGTTGTTGGTAGGTGCAAAGATGCTGCCCTTTTGGATGTATCTGAAAGGGAGGTTCTCCCTCGAACATCGACAGGGGATGTGGTCTTTTTCTGCTTTGCTGTTTCTTTAGACAGTGCCATTTCTGATGTCTTTTGCTGCTCTTCAAAGTCCCATGGACAAATGTCTGTACGCTTTGTTTTGGAGCTTTCTAAAGTAGAATGTGGCCTGTTTGACTTTGACTGACTAGACAATTGTTGCCTTGATCCTTCTGAGAGACTCTCACTTCCTTCCTCCCAAGGACACACCTCAGCTCGTACAGCGGTTGTTTTCTGACTCTCCTTTGAATGCCTGCCACTTGATGGAGACTGATCAGAAGCCTTCTGCTTGTGATGTTTGCTTCCTTTGGTGCTGCCTCCATGAATAGTTGTAGTTTCCTTGGGTGCTATTGAGACATGCTTTTGGACCTTGTTTTCTGATGGAGTTGGCAGATCTTCCAACTCCCAGGGACACACTTCTGAGACATCATAAAGGTCTTTTCCCCTGCCTGGATCGGAGCAGATTGTTGGCTGGCTACTGGTCACCGGCTGCTTCATGATAGTGCCTTTTGATGCACTCTGTTTGTACTCAACCGACTGGCTGATAATCATCTTTGTTTGACAGTCCTCTTCTGTCTCTGTGCTTATCTTCGTGTCTTTGCTCTTTGGCTGACTCTTTTTATTGCTGTCCTCGGAGCTTTGCGTCTTTCCAGTCAAGCCCAACGTTTTCTCTTTTGCACTGGCAATAACACTCAAAGACTTTTGTAGCATGGATGCTCTAGGATGAATTGGTTTCTTATCAGCAGTAAGATTATGGGCACTGGCTGACTTGCAAACTAATGGAACAGACTCTGTAGATTCACTTGGTGCATTTATATTGTCACTGGACTTCTTTTTGACCAGCTTTTTGCCCATGAGTGTGTCCAGTAATGATCCTTCGGTTATAGCCATCTCCATCTTCTCTGTCGCAGTTCTATCACCATCCTCATTCTGGTCCCGAACATGGTCGTAGCTGCTGTGGGACTTCTTCAGGGAGAAGACCTTGTTCTTTAATGTCTCTTCCTTGGCTGGTTTCATTTGATGACTTTGATCCAAGGGGTTCTTTTTCAGCATGCAGATGCTGTTACGATTACTCCCATGGTCCCCCAACTCTTTGTCTTCCCGGCTGCACTGCCGATGAACGGATTCGGGAATCTCAGTGATGCGCCTCATCAGTGAGCGCCCCAAACCTTTCTTGGAGCTTCGTTTCTTCTGCAGATGAGGATTATTTGCAAGCATCTTCTTTCTTTTGTAAATTTCCAGCTGGGAGTATAATTTCTTCAACTCCTCCTAAGAATAGAAAACAAAACACAAATGCAGAGTAGTGAAGCTATGTTGAGCTTCTGCTAAAGAGTATTCAAATGCAGGTACAAGACATGTTCTATGGTAAAACAGACAATCTACTCCACTTGAACCATGCAGTACAACTTCATGACAGATGACTACAAACATCTCTAAAAGACCGACTACTCAAAAATCGCATGCTTGCTGAAAGAAAAGCAAAGACAGGACTGTTCTGGACAGCATCAAATAAGGAAACAGCATATTTTAACGTTAGTTCTGAAACAGCCTCTAATCTTGGGTCCTTGATTGGTTCCATCTGTATCTTCATCTGAGACAAGAAACCTGGAAATGATCATAATTCCACTTCCTCAATGAAAAGCTCTGAAGGCACCCAAATCTTTTGGTAGAGAGACTTCTTCAGCTCTAACAGACAAACAGATATCTCTGCTCACGTTAGTACGTTTTTCCCAAAGGCTGTCGCAAGACCTTACGCCACAGCCATTAATAGAACTGAGAGGGCCCATTTCTTCTGGTGTCTGCAATAAAAAACTGCCATGGCTCAATTTGTAGAGGGTTCAAAGGTATCGCCAGGTTATGCAAATTACAAGAAAGGCAAATGAAAACACTGCTTACCCGAATGTCCTCAGGGTCCAGACTGTGCTCGCTCCATGCTGAAGTAATGCTGCTGTTGAGGTAGGACCCAGACCGACCCATGTCCAGCTCATCCTCGTAGGCTTCAGAGGCTATATCATCTCTCATGTGGGTCCCAGCAAACAGAAACTGGTGAACATTTAAAACATTTGTTAATAGACCGTAAATCTTTAACAACCTCTTGTACACTTCTGTAAGGGATTTCCCTCAAACTGAAACACAGTAAAAGTGGCCTATGTGTACTCTATTGCCTGTTGATACATACTGAACACAAACTAAGAATCTCCTTTTCGCTGTTGCGTATGCCCAGTATGACAGATTGCTGGAAAGTCAATAGGCAGTCAGAGGAAATACTCATTTTACCACATGGTAGTTTAATGCACTTTCCACACAGATTGGCTCTATTCTACATTGTTTAGCTAATTTCTCTCAACAATTGCGAAACATCTTAATGTGGAGAGAATTTGCAATTGGAAGACAGACCCACATTCTCAAAAAGTTTGCAGTAAGACAAAAAGAACAACAGTGGAGTACCTGATGACTTTTCTGAAGATCAGAGTGAAAAAAAATGTTTGGCCTTTGACTGTGCTATCTAAATATGTTTAGGTTGTTAGTTTTATTCAATCCTTTTATAATTTTCATTATAATAATTTTCAATATATAATATAGTCATTGTAAGTATTAATTTTTTATTCTCTCCTTTAAGGCACTGCAATGTACTTTTCTTTATTTATGTTCAGCACTTTGAATTGTCTTGTTACTGAAATGGGCTATATAAATAAACTTACCTTGCCTTTAGTTTGAAATAGTGTTTAACCAACCTAATTAATAAGCTAAACTTGTTGGGATCTGGAGGTCTGTCCACTTTCTCCAACTGAGGGCGTACTAGATCTCCTGGAGCCGGAGCTGATTGCAACCACCTGTCGCTCATCTGCTCATCAGGAGATCTGTATTTAAGGAAGCAGAGGACTTCTCTCCAGTGCCAGAGTGTTTGCCAGTAACGATTGAACCTGCCTGAAACCAGAAATCCTGAAGGGTTTCTCTGCCAGTTATCTGCCTGTCCGTTCTCAGGAGAACCCAGGAGAATTATTCCTGTCAAAGACCTGCCTGCCCGCTCTCAGAAGATTCTGGAAGGAAACTCAGATCTGTTATCTGCCTACACTCAAATTAAGCTCTGCCTCTGCCAAGCCCTCAGCCTGCCGACAGCCTTTGAACCCTCAAGGTTCCCTCCCTCAGCCGCTCTGCTCAACTCCAGAACAGGTACAGCATGCTCACTCTCACCCTGCAAATTATCTGGACCTCCGCTAACTCATCTGTCCCCCCTCTGCAGTGAACCCACTCGTGACCAGTCCTGGACCTGTTAACTCTGTGTGCTTTTCAGAAGTCACTCGTGACCAGACGAGTTCCCCTCTGGACCTTTTCATTTATAGGGTTCAAACACTTCAATAAACGTTTGAACTTTTCTCCTGCCTCTGAGTGTTCTGCATGTGGGTTAGGCACCTTAAGCCAAACATGACAAAACTGCATTCTTTGGTAAATAGTATCAGTTTTGGGATATCTGTAATTCACATGTAATTCAATTGAAATTACATTTTTAAGTGCCTTCAAATTTGTGTTATGAGTTGCTATATAAATAAACCGAATTAAATTAATCAGTGATAAAATCTATTAAACACTGTAAACTGTAAAACTAGCAACCAGTTTTACAATTACCTTAAATATTAATCCAGAGCTACAACTGAATGGTTTAGATTAGTGCAGACTTTGAAATGGTCTAGTCAAAGTACAGGTTGTAAAATGGAATTACAGGCTGTTTGGAAAAAAAAAAAACGACACAATGCATCTGTGAATTATCAATGTTAAAGCTGAGTCAGGATTGTAGATTTTAGGTCACCTAAGGATATCATGTTTTTATATGTGTGCCATGAATCAACTTGTTGGCCATGAAAGTGTTCAATCTGACCACATCAGAATGAACACTAAAAGATGCCTGAAAGTCTGTGGCGTTCCTCAGATAAGTGGGTTTTGTTTTTCTCTGGGAAGATAACTCCTCCCGATAGATAGGCTGGCAGCTTCAAATCTGCGGACCCCTTCAGACATCTGATGCTCAAGGTATGTTTATTTCTTACTAATATAACTGTCTTGTAGGGACAACATCAGCAATGACAAAACCTATTTATCTGTTAGTAAAACCATTGAAATCGGAACCATGCAGTGCAAGACACTGGTGTGACTGTAGTTTCTACAGTCTTGAATTTAAGTGCCAGTTCAATAGATTACCATGGATGTTCTTTGTTAATTAAACTGATTACCACAATTTTTTATTTTCAACTTACAAACCTCTTTAGAAAAACTTAAAATTTATTATACATAACAACTCTTTAGAACTGTTTTATAATGCACATGTCAGAACATTCCAGGCACTTGAGAGAAATCTGATATACAAGATTATTTGTAATTTCAGCAGCTCATTGAACAGTCTTATATAATGTTTTCTCATCCCTCTCTCTGTGCGCTATCATTGGAATCATTGGAATTGTTGGTATGCAAGAGTCTTTTAAGATTGATTTTTTTTTTGTGTGTGTGTGTGTGTGTGTGTGTCATGTTCTGCATTAACTCTTTGTATTGTGTATCATCTCTTTATGGACAATGAGTCTATTGAATAAATCAATCAATCAATCAATCAATTCACTCCAAAATAAGTCCTTAGATATTTTGCAAAGAATTAAAATACTGCACATTATATTTCTCCTTCTATTTAAACTCATTCACCACCTTGAGTCGCTATGTCTCAAATCCAAATTACTTACTATATATTATTACTATATAAATTACTATATACGTGTTTGTAATGGGACAAAAATGACAAAACATTACAGATTTGAATACTATACAGTGCATAAAAACTCTGTTATGCCTACCTTGGGAATAAGCAGCAGACCCAGAGTAACTGTCACAGTCAGGTGGGTATGAGTGAAGAACAGCAGCAGCATCCAGTCTGGATGGAGTTCATGAGCAAGAGTGAACCTGTGAAGTAAACAAAGAAATACAAAGGAAATATAAATTAAGAGGCAGCAACCTAAGTTACAGAACCACTGCTGCAAATTTTAAGTAGACTGGGACTTTTGATGCACTCTGCTGTGTCTGCTTTAAACCTTTTAAAAGGGAGACCTCCAGGACAGAGTAGACGGTCTTCTTGTCAGTTCCACTGTTTCATATATTGTTCCACTTGGGTGATCCTTTTGGCAGCTATGACAGAATATTTTTCTTCAAGCCTTCACAAGGATTTGCAAAAAAAGAAAAAAAAAGAATATAGGAGATGTGACCTCAATCTGGTTTTAGGATTTGGTCTATTTTTACATCAGTAAGGAATACGCTGGGTAGGCTGTGGCGCAGCAGTCGGCGGGAAATGAGATAATTAGGAGCTGAAACAACAGTGGTGTGAGGAGTAACTCCAGTCTTTTTTTAAATGAACTATCCAAATTTCAGCTCAGTGTGTGCTGAGCATTTGAAGGCATGTCCTCTCTGAAGCTAATTCAAGCAGCAGAGAACTACAATGCAAGCAAATGTCATATAGCAGTCTCATTAAAGTCAGCAAATGGGTAATTAATGAACAGTTACTGTGGTAACAGCTTGAAGGCATGAATGAAGGCAAAGGTCCTGCATGCAAAATGTCCCAAAAGCTTTAAAGTCTCTCCTCCTTCATGCTTGGTTATGAGTTTTTGTGCAGATGACAATTTAATAGCTCTGGTTGTCTCTGCTCAGCTTGAATTGCTCGCCCAAAGGATTCAAAGTCATGTCATCTCCACTCATTTTCTTTCTTTTCCCCTTCACCTGAATAAACCCCTGATGAATAACCTACTTGGAAGCCTGGGCTTTAACTGGCCGTCGTGGGATCAAATAGCCGGTTGGTGAGACAAACACGATAGATGCATCTAACAAACAGCGGAGAAGATTCTGGCCCCAGATGGCCACCGCTCAGAATCCACGCACCTAACCAGGGAACTGTGTAATTTATTAAAGGTGTCATCTGGCTGCTTACTGCAAAGAACTACAACAAAACAAGGCTTTAGAGGCCTGGTCATGATTAGGATCTCAAAAACCTCATAGAAAGAGCATTTCTTCATGAGCAACTTAGGCTTAAAGTATGGCTGTCAGTAACTTTACCTGTAATACCATCATAGAAAATAAATCTTTGCAGCGCTCTTCATCAGTAAGTAATGTGATGGGGCTGATCTGTCAGTTAGGGGCTAAAAATAGCTGCTGTGATGGTAGCTCATATAAAACGGCTTTGTACTGGGATTTGACATGCAGAGCGGAGAAACTTTACTGTGAAACGATGAGCAGATTGCATTACTTTTAGCCTACATGCAATAAACTGCACCTTCCCAGTTATGCTTTCTGATTTTACATGATAAAGGGAGGAAAGGTTAGGCATAATTCTCAGACTTTGCAACAAATATAAATCTCTGAAGTTTGAGTTTCTTTTCAGAACCCTTCACTTCATCTCCTAAAGCTCTGTAAAATTACGCATTTTTGCTGCAATCAACCTTATTTCAGATTATTTAATCAGTGTTTTCATTACAATGCACAGACAGTCCAATGGTGCACTCAGAACCACCTGGAGCTAAACCGGCTGAAAAAGATGGAGATTCCACACATCCTGCTCAGAGCTCGTTTAAATTTGAACCCTGTACTCTAATGGCAAAAACAAGCCGAGTCAGAGGTTAAGTCCAAATACTGCAACCCTGGTGTTCCTAAAACAAACATTCCAGTCAGTTGGTTTAAGCAGGTAGTATGACATAACTCTCCGGAACGTTTTTTCACTGCCCTCTTTGCGCATATGAGCAGACTTTACCGAAGTAAATTACCCACAATTCATCACTGTGATGTGTGTGATGTATTGAGCAAAAATCTGGAGATATGTAGAGATCAAGCCTTTGTGCTTCTCACTACCAGATCCATATTGATAACTTATTTGCCGTTAACCAGGTTGCCCTCGATTGTGCTTCATAAAAAAGAATGCAGTAACTTTTTTTTTTAATTATAACAAGTTACTAAACTACAATCTGTAAAAGGCAAATCATTTATTTTATAAAAGAATAAATGCATTTAAAAATTAAGATTAACATAATGCAATAGTATTTTGCAGGGCTGCTCTGAGCATGTCTGATGATATTGTCAGACAAGCAACATACCAGACAGAATGGAAGATGCATCCAATTCTCAGAAAAGTTGTACCTTAACATTCTTTGATGATTTCAAGATATAGATAAGGGTTTAACACTGTAATAACATTATTAATGGAGACCTGTGAAAACAGCTGTTGCATCTAGGCAGTTTAAGCTGATGGTACAGATTGTGCTTCCGATACAGGTCAAGTACCGGTCAAGTCAAGTACTGCCCTCTTATGTTCTTCTTTTTCCCTAGCTCCTTTTCTGTTCTGCTCTATGCACACCTGTTCCCAATCTCCTCATTAGCTCTCTATTTGTCTCAGTCTCCCTTAAATACCCTCTCTGTTCAGTTCTTCTTTGCTGGGTTCTCGTCAAACTTCCACCAACTCATTTTTAGTTTAAGTATACTTAAACTAAAAATGTTTTTATTTTAAGGTATTTGACAAATTTTCTTTTATCAGAGAGAACACAAAGTTTTAAAGACCTGCATGAGCGTGAGGTTGCAGCTGTGTATGTCTGACCTCTTAATATTTCTCTGTATTTTTTTTTATCTTTCCATTCTGTCTTCGTCTTTTGAAGTTTAATGTCTGGGTGAGTAATCACGGCTCCTAACTTTCTGGGCAGCAGCTAAAAAAATGGTAAGAGGAGAAACAGGCTGCATCTAGAGTCGATACTAATAAGCTGTTCACTGAGCTAATGTAATATATGTGAGCTGGGATTTATGGGATCTTTTTCAGGTTCACCAAGTAAAAAAATTACAGTTGCTCCAAAACATTTCTTAGAGTTATTTTTTAAAAGAAAATTAGAGCGCAGTTTTGAACGAGTAAGAAATGAAACCTACTGTCTCATTGTTAGTTTATATAGTTAAATCAAGATATATACATACAGAAGGATGGTTGAAAAAATACAGAACTGCTTCATTGGATATGGTCTACCCCATATACTTTCCATGTAAACACAAATTTTGCTGGTTTTGGAGCTGACTGCGCAAATAAGATCAATATATTTTAACTCCAAAGCCATACTTGTAGCACTTGTAATATTTATAACGCTGCTGCCTGAAAGGCGTAACCCAAAGGTGCAGGGAGCGTGCAGTGGGGGGAGATCTTGGTCCGGTCTCAGCTGTGATTGAGAGGGGCACACTGGCACTTACAGCAGCACAAACATGACAAACAGAGCAATCCAAACGATCATAGTTTTATGACAGAGTGGTGGGATTCCTCTCCGCCATCTTAAACAGAGAAAGAGGAACTGGAGGAAGGGTCTGTGGAAGAGACAAGCAGCCCTGAACTGTAGCAGTTTGAGCCAGTGGCTCAGAGATTCTGCATAGCTGTTCTCTCCTGCCTCATATGGTGGTTCTTGAAGGGACATCAATAATAAACCAATCACTCTAGATAAACAAAAAATGAATAACTTTCATGTTTTGTGATCAGTTGATAAAAAAATAAAAGCCAAATCAATACTTTAGACAACACGCATGCATTTTTTTAATGTTTTAAAAACATTTTCTTTAACATTGATTTTATTTCCAATCGCTTTAAGGTAATGTGACATTCACTCACAAAACCAGGGTTAAATCATAATATTAGACTGGATAGATCACACCTGTAGTGCTGGAGGACCCATATCTAACAAGATTTAGCTCTGTATTTAGTCTAACATACCAGAATCAAATGGCTGAAATACTCCGTCAATATGGAGTCAATTTCTGCAGCGTTCTGTTAATCATCTTAATACTTGTTTCAGGCGAGTTGGACTAAGCACACTTCTAAAAGTTGCAGGGTACCGGCCCTCAGGAACTGGAATTAACCACTCCTGGTATAGAATCTATAGATAATACAAACTTCTTTTTATACAATCTGAAAGCATTTATTTTTTTATGACCTCTTGCACTATATTTAAGAACATCATGATTTATATTAATTTTTTATAATTAAAAACACAGGCATGAGTCAGCAGAGAGCAGCTGCGTACATCAGTTCTCCCTTGGTGAGGTCACACCTCAGGCTAAAGCAATATTAACCTGGAGAGGACGCCAAACAGATGGTTTTTAGACGCATAAGCAGCAATTCAACAAATGTGCTGTAAATCCTCATAATAATATCTTGCATATGTAGATAATGATATACAAAATCTGTTTATACAGTTTGGCAGCAAAATAAAAAAAATATTTAGAGGTAAAAAGGGTTTTAGAGCCAGTTAAAATATCCCAGAATTATTTAGATTTACTAAATTTCTGTAAAAAAAACAAATATCCTTAGTTTCATAAAGTTGTATTTTAAAAAGAGTTTCACAAAAGGTTTTCACAAACCTTTCACAGTTATTTTTTTTTTTACTTTTTTGTCCATTCCTTTTGGCTGATTAACTTGCTGATACAAACCTTGTATGATTTTAGAGTTTCATGAGGGCCACTACCAAACACTATCTTTTCTCCATAATCCTTTTTTTTTTTTTTTAACCTATAATGGGATATAATTAGGATCATTGTTTATTTAGACAATCTATTTGTCCCCAATTTTTAATTTGACAATGCTTTAATGTTTGCACATATTGTTTTAACTTTTGATATTTTGTGCTGTTCACAAATATTGGTGCAAAAACTTTGGATCTAGAAAACAATTTAAAGATGTTCCTCAATTTTGAAGATTTGAAATTTGACTTTATCATTAACAGCCTGATGGTTTTTGCCATCCATTTTGCGTCGAGGGGTGCTGGTGCCTATCTCCAGCTGTCTACGGGTGAGAGGTGGGGTCCACCCTGGACAGGTTGCCAGCCCAGCTGGGCAACACAGAGACAAACAACCATTCACACAGACTCACACCTAAGGACAATTTCGAGAAACCAATTAACCTAACAGTCATGTTTTTGGCCTGTGGGAGGAAGCCGGAGTACGCAGAGGGAACCCACACATGCTCAGGGAGAACATGCAAACTCCATGCAGTTCCTCTAGATTCCCTGAAGTTTTAATATTATCAAAAAGAAAATAGTTTTTCTGCAAATAATTAAACCAAAGAATGTTGCTAGGCAACCGGAGTGACGCTGATGTGAGGGTGACATGACACAGTTGGGGAAAGTTAGGTGGTCTCAGTTCACAGATGATCGCTTTGCTTCATGTTTTTTTTTTTTTTTTCTAGGCGAACAGGGCTACGTAGCTAACTTCAAAGGACGCAACCCCTAAATTATAATGTGTGTTCTTATGTGGGGTATGCAAGTAACTTATTTTAACTATATGAGCTAATGTGGCTAGATGACTGGGCGTAATTACCTGATTACATGGAAGATAGATGAAAGCACAAGTTCGTTGTGTATAGCAATGGCCATGTATCGAGGCTCATGGAACGCCGAGGGCACGGTCCTTACGGCGTAACAAAGGTACACGCCCCACAGCAGGAAGAGGAATTCAGCTGTAAAAGGAAAGCATAAAAGGAAAATAAAAGTCATCATAAGCATCGTCAACAGGCTGACCATCAATCCTTATCAAAGTTCAACAACCAGAGACTTTCCCAGTTCAATCCCCATACTCCACTATACTACACACACACACATGCTCAACAAACCTTTTGGTTGCAGCTGTGGTTTTATTCTCTTGACAATAAATAAATCCCTGAGCTCCTTCGTTATGGCGCAGTTTATATGTTTCTAAGATACCAAAGCCCAACTGAGGTAAACAACCTGCTGCGACCTGTTTCAACTGTGCAGCTGAACCACTTGTGAGGCACAGCGTCACTACACACAGCTTCATTTAGCTGGAATTGCTCAAATTGATTTTCTTTCTTATTAAAGAGGCGCATTAGTTGCCAATATAGAGCGGTAGAACACAGTTAGAGAAGAAAAGGTTTTTTTGAAACTATCTATTTGGAACCATTTGACTCAAATTAACACATTGTTGGGAGGTTTTTAATACAAACCTGTTCAGAGTTACACCTAGTTATTGAGGTTTAACTGCATAATAGCAAAAAATGAAATAAGACAGCATTTTGCTTGTGTCTTTGCCTGATTATTGATTATTGTCATCTGCAGCAGCGCTGAAACCAAGAAAATTAAGAAACCAAAGATCCTTTCAGCTGCCCTCACTATCCGCTGCAGGGCCCACGCCCATCCATCTTGAGCATTTGACCTTCAGTTCCAAGTTGAGACGCAGCAAACAAAAACTGATGAATAATTTTGTAAACTTTCTAAAACAAAAAAGCGCTTTAAAACAACTTTTAGCATATACTAACAGCTCTAGGGCAGATTGAACGGCCAACAAAATAGTAATAATAATAATAACTAATAACTAAAGAGTAGGATTTCAATCCCTAGAAGCAGGATAACACATGCCGCTGCAACTTTTACAATATAATTTCATGTTAAAACCCCCTGCTGTAAATATTTTTACACTTAGCTCAACAGCTGATCAGAACTATGTTTCCTAAAGAAAGGTTAATCATTATCGTTAATTATTGCATAGTAAGCATATTTTTGTCTGTTTTCTAATCATAATTTTGTATTCTGTTTTTTTTTTGTAAACACAATTTGAAATAGAATTGATATTTTAAACAACTGCCAGGCAAGTCCAGCTTAGATGAAAGTTTAGCTACGGTATATCTTTTATAATACCCCTGATCCATTTTATTGTTGTCTCATCATGTGGCAAATATTACCACAAACTTTAAGCAGGTGCTTTTTTTTTCTTCCTGTAAATCTGTGTCATACATAAAGCTTTGTTCTTTGCGTCCCCAAATTTATTGTTTTTTTCTGTAATTTGCAGAAATATAAAAGGGTTGACTGCCCTCTAATGCATGGAGATTGCATCATTCAAAAAAGAAGAGACAACACAAAGATTTTTATACAAACAGGAAGCAGAAGCCCTCTTAAATTTTTACTTACTAAGGCTATCTCAAAATTTGCACTTCCATCTAGTTTAAAAGAGATAACACAGAGTTAGGTTTGCAAATATTTAACACTCGAACACACTGAGTGGACTCTGAAAGAAAAGTTTTTTCTTTTTTTGTCGGATTCTGTTATACAGTACATATAATCTTTTGAGCGAATGCTGTTTCACTAAGGCACTAGCTTCAAGACACTGATAACTTATGAGATATGAAAAACTCAGTTTATTGTTTGAATATTTTTTAAACTTCATTTATAATTTGAACAGTTAGTTGGTCCCACAATATTGCAATAAAATCGATCTTTTAAATCTGTAAATTATTATAGAACAGACTCTTGCCACACCATTTCACCACAGACAGCTGTTATTCCAACAGGTAACTGGCTTAGAAGAGGACAGAAATCCAGTCATCCAACACTCTAAGGAAGTGTGGGCAAGGATCCACAAGCTACACAAACTCTAACATTACAAACAGCAGTATTCCTCTCTGTGGCTCAATCCCAAAATTAAAATAAATGCAATTAAGGTAAACGCACTGTGTTTTGGAGAAAGTGGTTAGAAAATGGAATCCACACAATTGGCGATTTTTTTCAGTGAGGGTATTATTTAATAATTTGCTGATCTTGTTCAGGAGTATAATCTGCAAGAAAACAGTGACTTCTGGAAGTACTTGCAGATTAGACAGTGCATATTGAAAATAAATCTAACAACAGAAGAAGACAATGTAATTGTGCAGCTTCTGCAATGGCCAGTTAATCACAGGGCTTCAGTGTTTTACAATAAAACAGCTTTTTGAACCCGTAGCTCATGTGAAAACCTAAGAGTTATCTGGCAAAGAGACATTGAATGTGATATAGACAAGGACACTTGGGAACAAATATTGGTCAATAATGGTAAATACATCAAAGAAGTACGGTGTAAATTTATTCAATACAAAATTCTACATAGGTTCTACAGGACCCCATGCAGACTGTTTAGAATAGGATTAATAAATAGCAATGTTGTCTGGAAGTGTAAAAAAGAAACGGGTACTTTTTTACCTTGTATTTTTACCTAAATTGACTGACCGTGTGTTGTAAGCTTTTATTTTCTGCATATTATATATACCATGTAAGCTTTGTTCCGTATTTGTTTGATTCCTTAAATAAAAAAAATTTAATTTCAAAAAAAAAAAAAAGAATATCACATATCAAATCACCTGGGGGTTAGAGCTGAGTCCACTTGAAGAAAAAAGATAAATTGAGAACTGATGAAAGCCATAGATTCTTTTTTAGATTTAAGGGAGTGATTTTATTTCTTTGTAGTGTCATAGAGCATGTTTAAATTATTGATAATGCCAAAACACTAAATTCTAACCGTTTCCGAAAGGTCAGCAGTATTCCATGTAGTTCTTTTTTCTATACTCAAAGAATATTATTGCTGAAAGAGCAGTTTTCTGCTGTATTTGTTAGCCCACTCAGTTAGGATCCCTTTGCTGTAGGCTCCCTTAAATTTACCCTATTATTTCAAAGCAAGACAGAAAATTAAACCCACAGCACTGCAGCAGTATTAGACTTTAGACTGTGAGCCATAGCAGGTGTATTTCATAAAATCTGAAAGATTTATTGTTTCCCTGTGTGTTTGCGCTGGTGTTCAGGCAGAGACAGAGCTGACTTGCAAATCCTATTTTTACCGCCTAATGAACAGAATGAGAGTGCATGCTCAGTATACAGTAGCACAGCATGGTGTCTCTGCTTGTGGCCCATCTGTTTGTGAGGAGCTACTTTTCTGTCATATAAAGACTTGGCTAGCAGGCATGAAGCACGGGAGACAACAGATGAGGGTATTTGATTTCTCATCTTCCTTCCTCTGCTGTCTTCCTCTCAACCAAAGCAGTGAAAAAAGTTGCGGTTATAGATATTTTGTACCTGTATAAAAAGTTTGCAACTCAGCGATGCAAAAATAACACATATCTTGATACTTTGCAGCTGGATTTTCATACATAGCACAAAATTACGTCTCCTCTTTTTCTAATTATTTGTCTTAAGTGGTTCACATCATTAAAAAGATTTAAACATCAAAGAGAGCCCTAATAAAAAAAAAATTGTAAAGGATGACTCCATTTATTATGACAATAAAACATCTTTGGACATCTGCTTCCAACGTTACTATCCAGGTCAAGACTTAATTATTAACAAACTTTTGGTATCCCTCAAAACAGAGCCAGTCTGATGAGCTGAAGCAGGCTATAATATCTCAAAAAGCAAACATCACACCCCAAGTTAAACTAATTGCAGAAAACAGTTATCACCAACTTGGAGAAAGGGTTACAAACATCTTTTAAGGCTTTGGTTATCCCTGCGATTATCAATGAAGACAAAACATAGAACAGTGTGGACCTTTCCAAAGATGGTCATGTGAACAAGATTAGTCCATGCAAGCATTAAAGACCCATTACCAAAAAAAAGTGCAGACGTTGACTGTGTCACTTAAGGCCAGAGTTTAAGATTGAGCTATAAGACAAGGACTGAACATAATGGGAGAATAACTCAAATAAAAAAAAGGATGTGGCAAAAAAGGATAAAAAACTTTTAACCCATGTTTGCCAAAAACATCATGCAACCAAAGACTAACTTCTTTGAAAGATTTTGTCTTACTGTACATCTGTGTATCATTGATCATCATCACAAAACTAAAACTACATTCCAGTCCTCTTACATGGTGTTTGTGGTGTGATGGTCCGTGGCTGTTTTTCGTTTTTTTCTTAAAGGTACGTTGTGTAACCTTTGGCCACTAGGGGCAATAGACCTGTAACCTTCATGTCTAGCGCCCCCTAGTGGCCACAAGTGCTGCAGCACTGTCACAAAATGCAACAAACAATCAGCCAACCTCCCAAGTCTTTTGATTGGGGGCCGCGTTAGGCATCTGCGTTCAGCAAGAAGGGCGTGAGAAATGCTGCTGCTCTCTGGAGAGCACCGTCGAGGCAGATCAGACTGTGATGTAGGGAAGAATAGCGGTGCAGGTAAAGTGAAGAGCCCCTGGGTCGCTTAGATTTAGCTTATGCCCTGCCTGCTTTATCTGCCCGTATTTTGCTTCTACTAAAAATCGAAAATAATAACAAAGATATAGGACTGTATTATAGGAGCAAAGTCTAATAATAAAATTGAGAAAATAGTTTTACATCCAGCTTCTTCTTTCAGCCTGTGCCAACGAAGAAACTCTTTTCCATAATCGACTCTTATTTATACTCCGCCACGACCCCTTTCATGTTTTCTATTTTGAGGCTCCTCGGAAGGTTTAAAATTTTCCTTCCTCCAGCCATGACTAGTAGTCAAGCAGGCGGAAAAATAATAGGGCAAAAACATGAGCTCCATGACGATATAAGTAAAGCCATACGTTCTTCTAAGTCACATGACCTGGTCAATGACGTTCCATCATCTCCCAACTAACATAGTCGGTAATTCAAGACGAGAGCCCCGCTGTTAGCATCGATAGTGTGAAGTGCTTTATATTGACCTGATATGCTTTAACTCTTTAGATCACAAAACCAACAGTTTGCCTTTAAGGACCTGCAAGAGAATGTCCATCCATTAGTTCATGACCTCAAGAAAGAGTTCACTTGGGTCATTCCACAAGTCATCAATCCAACACCAGCAAGTACATCTCCAAATTCTTGAGTGATATATTTAAATCAGAGTAAAAACAGTTCTGCAAAATATATTCCTTGATGATCAGGCAAACTTTACCCAGTCTTAATAACATGACTCTAAAGGCCAAATCTCAGAGAACTCATGTTCTAGTGTACTCATGCACCCTGCAAACGCAGAGGGCGGACTACAGACTTACCAACAGCCATCATGTAGTCCCAGCGGTCCAGGAGGCACATGCCGAACTGACTACCATCAGGCGTGTAGCCTACATCAATGAGGGCCAACTTCCTGTCTGGGTTCTGACAGACGGCAGATGTCCAAGCCACCAGGAACCAACAGACGATGAGCAGGATGATGGCCAGCAGGCGCATCACTCGCCAGCTGGTCATATAGGGGATCCTCTGAGCTGTCCGGGATAGGAAAACCTTCAGCACCCTGCGGAGGAGGAGACTCACATTAAAGATTCTGCAGAAAAAAAGGATAACCATGTGTGGCGCCAGAATGTCAATTTTCCCATGTCTAATCTAATACTTGATGATTATTTACATAATATGGTTTAATTCTTTCCTTATTTCTTATTTTCCTTTTTTGTTTTGGTTTATTTCAATTTCCCACATTTCCCAGTAAAATGCTGAGATTTAAACATCTCTTATTTTATTGAATCATTTTCATGCTTATTGTTTCCTAAGGGAAGATTGGGAAAAGCCTCAATTAGAGAATGTTGCACCTAAGCTCCCAGCTTCCAGAAACACATTTTGATCCAGCATATTCACTGGGTTGCACTGAAAAGGGTCTCTAAGTACAAACACATGATTGTGCAAGATACATTAAAACACATGACCACCCTGCTATTCTTAGACTCTGCCCTTCAAAGCAACATTGATGTAATTTCCACAGCGCTCCCCACTAATGAGCCCCCCATCAAAAATTGATCCACACAGTACGTTAGTGTCCACTTATAAGGCATCACTTACCCTCATTCCCTTAATCTCCATTTCCACTTTTGACAGATCCATATTTCAAAGAAAAAAAGACCCACACAACAGGTTTTCCTCTTTAAACACAACTCAAATGCTGATGTTTGTTTTTTTCCTTTTGTTTTATACTGCTAATCACTGCCGAATTAGCACAGCTAGTTCCTTTTTTCTCTCACATATTCATCTCTAAGTCCTCTATATTTCTTAGAGGTCAGCCAGATCCAGAGAGTCCTGCATTTTCCTAATTGTTTTATCTTGGCAGAGGATCCACTGTAAAGTCTGGTGATGAAGTGGCTGAGAAATACCCAATCTCTTGACTCTCGCTTTTCCCGGAATTTAAAATGTAAGATTCAAGGTAATTGCTCTGGATAAAGTCAATATTGTCCGGGAGGTGATTGTAGCGGTGAATAATGGACAATACCTGTAGAGCTTGAGAGTGAGTGTCCCGTAGACAGTGGCAAAGCCCAGAAGTCGAACCCAACGCAGCAGGATGCAGCGGAAAATGCTTGGATGGAAGTAGAGAATCCCAACCTTAAAAGAAATGAAAATGATTGAGGGTTACCATGTGAAAGATAAAGGACGCTCTGTTGTTGGGAAATTAAATTCTCTCACAGGAAGCTGGAGCTTCACTGCAATCTCAGTAAACCACTCTATAAACACAGATAATTTTATTCAAATGTTTGTTCAAACCGTTCTGATGTAGCATCACATGCAACACTGCAGGGTTTCTGGCAGTTTCATTTACTGCTTGACCTTGCTGCTCATTTTGTGCTGGTTGCATGTTCTCCCACATCATTCAAAACAGATTGCATTCATTCTTACACTCCTATGCTATCAAAGCTAAAGTTGTAGGGCTGTAAAATTAATCATCTCTGACTCGATAAACAAGGAGAATAAAACTTTTATCATGAAGTTGAATAGCCTCCTGAGATTCAGACTTTTTCAGACAAACCAGCAGATGGAATCTGTTCATGCTTCAGCTATCATGCAGGGAAGGCAGATGTAGCATCTAACTCAACCAAAGCTTATTTCTCTGCTCTAATAAGAAACGCAGCACCGGCCACAATTATTGACACCCCCGCTATTAATACTCTCTACCCCCCATCCCTGTGTCAGTGAGACAGACAACACTCAGTGTTTTTCTATGGTATTTCACATGGTTACAGCCTGACGAGAGACATGTTTCACCATTCTTCTTTCCCCAATCACTTTAGATCTGTGGTATTTACACTGAGATTTTAAAGTTTAAACCCAAGGAAGCTTTTTTTTTTTATTTTAAACTTTCCATTGAGTAAACAAGATTGAATGCTTATGGTCCTATTAACGATGTAGCTGAAATAAAACCAAATAAAACCCAAACTTTTCTTTATAAAATCAAGTAACTTTATGTTTTACCGGACCACTGCCAATGCAAGATGTTTTAACCGGCGAAAACCTTGCTCCAAAAAGTGACAATCTCCCCATGAAGGATTGAGCTGTTTGCAGGAGCCACAAACAATAAATCAGAGGCCACAAAATGGCCCCAGACTCTTCTTTGGACAGCCATTCTCAATACCCTCCAAGGTCTTTGAATCTCTCCCTAATTCTTAGAGTCAGTTGACACTCAGTTGACTTAACACTTTTTCCTATTTTTTGTACAAGAATGCCACTCATTACTCCCATTTAAAGAAATGCATATTATTAATAATGCAACTAAAATGTCTATGTCACAACTTTTGATAGGATCAGTGACACAAGAAGTCAAGCAGGGTGTTCCTAAAGAGAAGTTCATAATTGGCCCTACTCAGTTAAAACATTCACTGGCAATTCATAACCACTCTTGGCAGGAATGGCCCAAGGCATAAGGATACTAAGTGACTGCTAAGGCGGGCATACAATGTACAATATTTGCAATCGTTCTACTCAGCTACAGCTCAAACGTTGCAACTAAACCGCAGAATTTACCGTAAAAGTTTACAGCTCACAATGTATGTTCTTACACTGAAAAGCCCGACGCTCTGATTCGATCTAACTGCTCATATTGTATGTCCAAAAACCACACGTCAGACTCAGTACCGAGTGATGGCGCTGGTCGGACTCGTCAATCTGGTGAATCGGCTCGTAGATGCCCGTAGCTCTGCTCCAACAGCAGGATTTTCTCACGACAGCTTATGAAGGCTGACTGAATTTCAAACATCTTTTATTTTTTCCCAGCATTATGATTCCTGATTCCTGATTGGGAGGTGGTCATGAGAGGCTAATTGCTCCTTGTTAGCCACTGTATACTACATGAAGCAGGACGCATGATGAGGCTGAAACTTGGCCCTATCTAAAACATTTCACACGACTGGAAAGTCACCCTGAAAAGGGAAAAAAATTAATACGGGGCCTCAGGGCCCAAGAACGATAAATTGGCCGCTTGTTGCACAAGTAATTATTTCTATATAAATACAGTTAACTAAACAAGTCTATAAAACTATTCATTTTTACATTAGTATAACTTTAAAATGGAGAAACCATTACTCATACAGAGATAAAAAGGATATTGGTCTTGTGGCCAATTAACATAGAGCTAATTATTTTTCTATCTGGTTTCAGATAACTATTTTATTACCACAGTTAACTAACATGCCTAATATTTCAATATTTGTCTGATTTAACTAGGTCTGATTTCGTATAATTAGATTTGTTACTTTTATAAATGTACTGTAATTGTTGTTGTATAAAGTCCACTATATAGTCCTCACTCTACATAGTGATTGAGGGATCTAGGGGTTAGGGCAGATGTTCGGACACAGCCATTTTGTTTTGTTATTTCCTCAGGAATAAGCAATGGTTAAGAATCAGATCTAACTGTTTTTGATTTCTGATCAGACAAATCATTTAGTAAAATATTATTTAACCATATATTGTTTAATTGACACCTGGGATTTGCTTTGTGAATTGGTTAAAAAAACAACAGTTGCTTTAAATTAGAATTCAAAGCTAATTTAACCTAATTGGAAATTCTTAAAGATAGACTTTAAAACATGAACCCAATTAACTGTGATATAATTGCAGCCTTTTTATTTTCATTTGCCTTTTTCTTCTATGTGTACAAAGCAGTTATTAATTAAAGTTGAGTTTCACTAACTTAGCTAAGAGGTTCTATCAAAAATATTCTTGACCTGGAGATTAATTAGTTGTGTTGTTTATTTCTTATATTTTTTAACTTGTGCAGCGTAAACCGTTTGGCATTGATTTTAGCTAGAATAACACCTTCTTCTTTTATCCTAACTCAGCCAGATGAACGTGTGTCCATAATACAATACATGACATTCCAAAGGTTATTTGATCAAATATTATACCATATAAATGCATAAAATTGATTATCACACTGTTCCATGGGCTGGCATTGTATACAACTTAAAGTTACTAAGGTGTGTGAATGATCTGACTATTATGGCATGATATTCAGATCAATGGATAACAATGGATATTATTGGTTAAAATAAACAGCAGAAACTACATTTGGCTAAGGGTTTCAAGTAGTCTTGGCCCAGCCGTGGTTCTTGGCATTATTTGAACAGAACATCTGAAGGGTTTCGATATCACACAAAACTTTACCTTTGAGACCCAGAGGAGGGCATCAACCCATATGTTCTGCACAAGGCCCACAAACACTCTGGAATTTGGCCAATTCATGCTGCCAAATAAAAAAAAATTAAAAGAGAAAACTAAACACCGATGGCCTTCCAGCGACATTAAAAGAGCGAGAATGAAGAAAGAAAGAAACAAACATCTGAGGCGACATAATTATCTGTCCGCTGCAGATGTGCAGTGATTTCCCCTGTGGGATTGTTAATGGTAATCGGATTAGCTGAGGCATTAATACGTTCCCTCTGGCAGTGGCAAAGACGCAGGCATGCGAATATTAGCGCTCACTGGGTTTGAGTCAGTAGAGGGACACGGAGGAACCAACAGAAGAGCGATAGCGTGGATCTTCACCCTCCAGCCAACAGAACAGAAACCTCTGACTCAATCCGAGTGCCTCATGGTTGACTCAGCTTCTCTAGAGGGATGGGGGCAAATAATGAATGCTGACGTTTTAATTTTACTTACCAGGTGTTTTAATTCATATTCTAATGTATATAAACCTTTTGGCTCCTTACAGGGAACCTCTTTTTAAAACAGAGATCAAAAGCTGATTAACGGATTGCAACCTGGACAGGTACTGTGCATCATCCTGACGCACATTTGAGCCCACTGGGACACAAGAGGTTGCAGGAAAACTGAGTAAAATGCACCTGGGAAAATAGGGGAGAGGTGATGACTCCTTTAAGTTAACTTCCAAACAGAAGCTGCATGTTATTTAAGGTAGGTCTTATTATTGGTGAGTTAAGGGGACATTGAATACAATTCTCCCTGAAAAACAAGGTTTATCTAAATAAAGAAAATATGTTTTTTGCTCATCTTCAGTCGGGAGTTTATGTTTGAATAGCACAATGATGTCTATGAAACTGAAAAATTCAGGCAACAATGAGTTGCTTTTTGTCTACTTCATGTCAACAGTCAGGTTCTATTTAAAAGGTTTATTGAATCTGAGTGGCATTAATCGGACTGGTTGTGCCTGTTGGAATAAGAAGAAATAATATAGTTAAACACAGTTAATAGTTGGAGGGTTGCATTTTCATTAAGGGCCAAGTTGGTTTGGATTTTTTTGTTTTGTTTTTCACTTTCACTTTTTCACTCACTTCATATTAAAATTAGTTTGATGATCTGAGACAATTTAGTGTAAAAAAAGTAAAAATTAAGATGACATGTGTGTCCAACACCATGGAAATTATAAGGTTTTTATGCTATTTCTGGTCTGGTTTTTATCAATGAGTGTAAAACCCAGCAAATTCTATCAATTATGTGACCTAAAAAAAACACAATGTGCATTCCCCTTTGAAAAAAATTGAACAAGACTGTAGGGAGATGCAAAACAGCAAATTCCAAAAAAAAGAAGAGATATTCTTCGATCTCAGAGATTAATTAAACCAAATGAGCTACACATTAAATATAAAAAAAATCCATTATGTCTAACATAAGTGAAAAAAGGCACTGAAATAATAAATCATTCTATAGAACATGAGCACAGTCTTTGTCCTCAAACTTCATCTTGGTCCTGAGGTCTCCCCATGCTGCTTAGAAATTCATTACCCAAGCTTTTCTAGTGATGCCCTTTGCATTAGGAGACTTTCTGGGAAACAGCTGGCCCTCGATCTTTAGATAGGTTTCTCCTAACGTCAGCTTGCATAAAGAGTGAGATCAGTTTCTGCCCCCCTTCACTTCTTAAACCTCCCATTAAAAATCAATGCTAAGTGCTGGGCATAAAGGGTGCAGGAGCGTCTAAGCAAAGGGATCAAACAGTACTCAGACTGTGTCTATGTATATGAGGCTGTAAAAGTGAAAGATCTTATTAACATACACCCTTAGAAGACAATTAGGTTTAAATCTTTTCCTGAAACCTGACCAGGTTTGCATATTAGGGTGTTTTATCTGACCAGTTACAGTACCTCTTTTGTGAA